AGTTATACATGATATTGAAATTGTTAGAAACTCAGGCAACAATAAATTTAAAGTATTAAGAAATGTTGCTTGCATACATGAAACAGGCCTTAAGGGCTTTCAACAAAATTATATCACCCCAACAGATGCACAATTCCTAACCTAACTTAAACACTATTCTGGGGAACAAAGGTTACCTGAGATCGGAATTATAAAGAAAAATTAAGTGCATTAAAAGAATTAAATCACAGTATCACTCTGGTTCCGCTTAGTGACACAACATTCAAAAAACAATACTATCAAAATTATTTAAGAAATATTAAACCACACACGTCAAGATAACATCAGTAACTGAGAAATGGTATTAACTACACACAAATATAGTCACTATTATTAATATGTTACTGGGTCCACCAATACTCGTGAACCATGCTCCACCCAACTCAACATACACCCGTAATAAGGGAGATAAAATGTTCCTCTAGGTATCTCCTAGAGTCCTAGACTCATGGTCTCAGTGTGTGACCATTAATTTACTCAGATATCCTCAGTGTACTCCCAGTGCATCCATGGGCAGGAAGAGAGAACGCCAGCAGGTGTCTATGGCCAGTAGGTAACACTTCTAGCTGACCGAGGACACGTGGTGTTGTGCACCCACGTGGTAAGAACTGATCACCCACTGCTGATGCTGGTCCCGTGTCGTTTTAGTTGTCGGGAGCACTCGTTCACTCAAAAGATCCTTTGCTACCCCGCTAACCAGTGACAAGCCTACACTGATCGTTCCGAAGGCGACAATCGCCAAGCCTCAATCATCAACGGCAGTCTCAAACGGCAGTCAGTCTCTCGCAGCCAACTTCACCCAGTCAAACTCGCGGCCAAGTGGGTTCTGACGGAAACCCTGAAATAAACTCACTGTTAGCTCTTGTTAACTTTACCACTGCCCTATCTAACACTGTCTGAGATCGAATGAGACTTACTTGTTATACTGCAATAGTGCAACACAGGTGACTAGGCCACGTGACTATTTCTGTGACGGACGCGCAGGGACGTCTTGTTTGTCTGAATGCTTCCCCGTGACTGAGAGAGAGCCCGCCTCGTGTCCTCTCAAGGCGTTAGCTTAGGCCTACGTGACATATTTTCCGCCTAACTAATAACTCCTTGGGACACCCGTAACATTATTCAGACTGATAAACGATCTATAATAATTTCAAATTCAATAATAGTCCCTTAACTTCATGAATCGCATCATTATTAATTCGGCAAATTACATTTAATATCACTTAGGCCTAGTTCCACAACCTCTCGCTATGTGCAGGGAGCGCTCTCTTCCCTCCGACGACCTTGAAGGCTCAGTATCGCCAATGGCGCGGTGTTTGAAATTACACTGAAATTTCTGAATATTACAATCGACCCCCCTAAAAAAAGACAGCACTGTCCTCATGTGCTGAGAAAAACATGCATACGACCCCCTAAAAAATTGTTCTAAGAAACTGCATCTTACCCCTTTAACGTGCTAAACGCAGCATTCCCGTCTTCTCTTCTCCACTTCTCTCTCCCGCTAACATATATATATATATATATATATATATATATATATATATATATATATATATATATATATATATATATATATATATATATATATATATATATATATATATATGTATATATATATATACTTTTACATACCTTTAGTACTTTTTAATTATTTTAATAACTAATATATATTCTCTCTTCATTTCTATAACTCATTAGACATATTTTTTGCATTACTCTATGAGTGGGCAACCTAGTGAGTCTTTACACAGGGAGTGAAGTGATAAATAGTCCTATACATAGATCCTCGTCCAAAATTTTAAAGTATCAAACAGGAAATTAGTGACTCAGACTCTGATAGCCAGTCATCTAATAATTAACAGGACCTAGTGGCAACTGATAGCGAGGAAGAATTACCACAAATCAGCCAATTAGAGTTAACACCTAACGACTCCTTAGTTAACTGTGAAAATTTCAATGATTCTCAGTTTGAGGATTTACACAGTAGACTATTAAGGTCAGGTAACATTTACCCATTGCCTTCACCTGTTACTAACGCTAGTGCTTTAACTAACACAACAAAAATGGCAACAGGTGGATCTACTAACCCACAGACTGCATCTGTCTGTCAAACGGTAAAGGTATTTCCAAATAACATTAAGGTACAAGAGTTTACTGCCGAGGATCCTGATTATACTAGTTTAGCATTTTTGCGTAAATGCGAAGATGTATTGAGCGATAACAATATCACTAATGACGTAGATAAAATTTCATACGTCCGAAGCCTTATCAAAACCGATAGTCGGGCAGCTAGAGGTCTCCATGCTTCAGCTATTGACAAAAAAAACGGATGATTATCCAACATTTAGGCAGCAATTCTTTTATTTTTTCGATCGGGCTCCAAAGGAGGTCCACTGTCTTAGATTTTTAAGATGGCAGAGAGGACAGGTGACACTCTGCTTGCACATAAAGCACAAGAAGCCCAAATTTGTGCGTGTCTCACTAAGCTAGATCTCACATCTTACATGGATTTCTCAGATTGGTTCGATAAAAATGACAACTTGTCTAAAGTGAATTTCTACAGGATTATTGAATTGCTTCAGTTTATCTTATCATCAAATGAACCCTTACGCACGAAAGTCCAAAATAAAGAGTTTAAAATAGGCAATAAACTTGTACAATATGTAGAAGAAATTGCGGAACCCAAGGAAAATGTTCCTAGGGCGTTGTCAGTGGCACCAATCACCAGCCTTAAGGAACAACCATAATCTGTCACGGGAACCAAACAGAAATCAGATAAGTCCCCAGCCAGTCAGAGGCAGGATGGAAGGAAAGAATCCTCGCATGGCCTAAGGATTTCAGATAGCCCCCCTAACCCAGAATCTATAAAGGGACATTATTACACAGTTGGTAAAATGTCTCCAAATACTACAGGCATTCCGAATAAATGGTGTATAGTACATCAGTCTCCATACCACAACACAGAAGATTGTGGGAATGTACAGCGTAAGAAGCAAGAAATGGAAAATCGAAGGGAGACAACTATACAGTCTTCGGGGGAAGAGAGGTGAGTCCAGCAACCCGATCTAGAATAGCATCAACGGTTCAAGAAAACAACGCTTCCATCACCGGCTCATTAATCGCCGCGTTAAACAAAGTGGAGGTGTTGACCGTACCAGCGAGGATAGGTAACAATCGGTTATCCCTAGATATAGATATGGGGGCCTGTGCCAATGTTATCTCATTAAAGTCGTTCAATGAACTACAGCGGCGATATCCTCCAAATAAGTGGCCAATAAGACCTCAGACATTCCTCTGTCCGGTGTGTCGGGAATCCAATTAGACATAGGGGGGTAATAACACTACCACTCCGTTTTTCTAGTTCCAGTAAAGCGTTTTTGGCGGATTTCTACATAGTCAAGGCATTTTCTTTGCCAGCGGACGGGTTACTTGGTCTGACCACTCTAAGGCAGAACAACATTAACGTTCAGCCACGAGATCAAACAATCACGCATAATTGAAATCCATATCACGCAATGCAAACTTCACATCCATTGCTTACTTTGGGTGTATGTGTAATAACTGCCTCGACAGGCACAGGGGAGTCATTGACACAGCAGCAATTAGTGACGGAGTCACTCCCTGAAACTGCACCTAGTGGTTCAAAGGACATTTCGGATGAAAGCGGTCAGAACTGGACTCTAACGTCTGCTGTGTTAACCGGTGTACAACGGTTACATAGCCAGGAACTAACTAGAGTCACAGTACGTTTGCCAAATGTGAGTGAAGGAACAGATGTTGTGTGTCTGAGTGAAAGCACACGAGTGAAAGGTTTGTCACTTGAGTCTACCTTAAGCACTGTTAGAATAGGTAGTCTCACAGATGTCCTGGTTCTTACTAGAACTGGGGGACCCATAACCTTAAGAAAGGAGTGTTGTTTCGGTAATTTCCTTGTTTATGACAAAGCGGTTGTCGAAGAGCCATTAGAATTACCAATAGGTTGTGTAACACAGGGTAAATCGAACGAAAAATCACATACTGTCTTGTAAATAATGTAGCGTTGATAGCGCCACACGTGAAAGTAGTCGATCATCCTCGAGGCAAAAGTGATCTTTCAGAATTACTCGCCGAATTCAAGGAAATCATAGCATTACCTGGAGAATCCCAAGGTAAAACAACGTTGACAAATCATCATATTCCACTAGAACCAGAAACTAACCCAATCTACATCCCAGCATATAGGCTACCCCACAGCAGAAGAGTGGTAGTCCATCAAATAGTACAAAACAGTCTATGCCTATCTAGATGATCTTATCATAGTAAGCAAAGATTTACAAAGTCATCTAAAGCAGCCTCGAGAAGTTTTCACAAGGCTACATCCAGCTGGATTGAAAGTGAAACTTTCCAAATGTGAATTTCTCAAATTCAGAATTCAATTTCTTGGTCACGTAGTGGATGGCAATGGTATACACACAATAGATTGCAAGGTAAAGGCGGTGAAACAATTCCCTTGTCCCAAGAACGTAGATCAACTTCGTAGTTTCCTAGGATTATCAGGATACTTCAGTTCTTTCACTGAATGTTATGCCAAGTTCGCATCACCACTCACTAAACTCCTCAAAAAGGATGTGGAGTTTACATGGAATAAGGAACAAGAGGACAGTTTTAATGCCCTCAAGAGCGCCTTAACAAATGCACCAGTGTTAGCCTCCGGATACACAAAACCATTTACAATGTGCACTGATGCCTCGGGACTAGGTTTAGGGGCGGTGCTCATGCAAACTGATTATTGAGGAAAATGGCGGGTAGTAGCATACACCAGTCGCACCCTCAACGATGCAGAAACACGTTATTCAGCTACGCATTTAGAAGCATTAGCTGTAGTGTGGGCCTTCAAGTATTATCGGGATCTCATTTTGGGATATCCGATCACAGTCCACACAGATCATGTAGCCGTGACAGAACTATTTCATGGGAAGAACGTATTAGGGCGTCTTGCACGCTGTTATCTGACCATACAGGAATTCGCAAACCGACTTCAAGTATTTGCCGGGTCGTGCGAACGTGGTAGCTGATTTGCTATCTAGACACATACCTCCTGTCATGCCACTACCTACGTTCACCCTGTCACACCTAAAGACAGAACACTTACAGGATCCATTATGTTCCAAGGTTATATATGCCTTAGAATCGGGAGATGAGGTAAATTTGCCCAGATTACCTCTACCACTCTCACAGTTTGAGCTGCGGCATGACATATTTTATCGCTCAGTGAAAACACAACAAGGATTCAATCTCTCAAATTGTTATTCCTACATCTTTAAAGGAAAACGTTCTTACCCTCTCTCATGATGCACCCCAAGCTGGACATCCAGGGCGAGATAGATGTCTAACAAAAAATTTGAAAAAAAAATATTATTGGAAATCTATGAGGATCGTCATCGAGCATCACATTACTAAATGTTTATCTTGTGCAAAACACAAGGGAACAACGATGGATCCCGCTCCAATCTTAGAATACCCGACGTCAGAACGTCCATGGGATACCGTTGCAATCGATTTATTGCAACTACCAAAAAGCCATCAAGGCTCTAGTTACATACTTGTCTGCGTTGACCATTTTTCCAGAATTGTGGTACTCTCATCATTGCCGAACAAGTCGGCCGAATCAGAAGCTCATGCACTAGTCACTCATCTAATCTGTCCTTTCTCTACACCTATGGCACTGGTTCTTAAACTTTTTCACTCCATTCTCCCTTAGAGGATGTTACGTTTTAAATGCAGGAAAGTGGCTTTCTTACCGTAGAACTCGGATACCTTCACACTGGTTACTCACCCAAGAGATTATGGTGTATCACTACGTAGAATTTTGCTCTGCTTCCGGCATTCAATGCGTTATGTACTTGATAAATGATGATTTAATGAATTCCACTAACTTCCAACATCCATCTAAGTTATTGGTTATACTTTGTCATAACCAATCAGTCATTACCCTTGGTAATAATAATAATAGAGGGATCACAGATACGGGCAGATGATTGCACTTACGTTTATTTGGCACAATTCCATACACTGGACTTATAATTTGCATGGATAGGTCAATCACTCACATTCACGCCACAGTACCGTAAGTTATAAGGGAGAGTTTGTCAACCTGGTGAATTAATCGTTTAGATCTATTAGGCCGGCCTGGAGTGCTCTTGTAGCAAACAGGCCCTCACCATTGATCACTTCCTTTACAGGATGTGTTAACTTGTCGCTGGACTTAACAAAAAAATCTCGGGGATTTGCACACACAGACCCGTAGCACTGGTAGGACTGTATGGCCCCTAATCTTAAGTCCGCGGAGCAGGAGGTCTTCTCTAACCCAAGGTCTAAAGCCCACTGGCTAAATTGGTTTTTTTGAGGCGTGAAGTGATGAACAGTACACCACTGTCTCACTGGCCTGCCCCCCCCCCTACATGTCCCAGTCATGGCTGGCCGGTTACCTTATCTCTACCGTAAACAAACATTTGGGATGGGTTGTGCGGGAGGCCCAACGCAACCCATGACAATCGCCCCGACTAAGAAAAAATTTTTCTCTTGGAGAATAAATTTTCACCACCTGTATACAATCAAGAGAATGCCTAGCCCAGACACACAATTCGACATTCACACTGTGGTGTGTGTGTAACACTAACACTGCAACGGAATGTAGTCGCCAATCGCCACTGAGGGAAAACCTCAACATTTACTTTATTTTTTTTTTGGCTGGAGGAAAACTCCGCGGCGAGGGTGACAATTCCCGAGCAATAGTTCATGCTAAGCGTAAGCACGCTACATTTACATTAGAGCAACGTGTTGTGTGGTGTAGGGTATGTAGACATTGTTTAGGTGGCACAGGTGTTGTGTTATGTTCTCAAGTGTAGAAAGGTGTGAGAAAATTATACATAACATATGACGAGCCGCCAGACGCTTGGAGGCTCGAGTCGACTGGAGTCTAGACCAACTCCACACTCATTTGGGAAGGTGACCTCTCAATCAGTTGCTCTGGTTCCCCCACAAGTCGAGATAGGAGGTCAGCCCCCACATTCAGGCTGCCCTTGATGTACCGGAGGACGAAGTTGAACTGCTGGAGATACAGTGCCCACCGCATCAGACGAGCATTTGCATTCTTAGATGGTCGGAGACTGGTGAGCGGCATGTGGTCTGTCTACAACACAAACTCACCTCCGTAGAGATAGTAGTAGTACTTCTTGATGCCTTCCACCACTGCCAGAGGTTCTTTCTCGACCGTGCTGTAATTCCTCTCTGCAGGTTTCAACTTGCGACTGTGATACGCAACTGGAAAAACCTCGCCATCTGCCTCTTGTAGTAGCACTGCGCCAATAGGGTGTGTCATAGGAGGGAAGATCAGCTAAAACAATTGGCCCATCACTTTTTTGGTAGATTTTAGTATATATAAACAGAAAATAATTTCAGTTTTAATATTTTGCAACCTTTTGCTAGGTAAATTTTAGCGTGAAATTTATCGAAAATCTAACGTACAGCTGCATTAGTGCATTACAAGTAAATAGTGAACATTGCTTTCTGACTTCATTCTTTAACAACCCAACTAACAATATTTTTTTCTGTTTCAGATTCTGATGCATTTATAAGTTGATAATATTGGCGATGGCTGCTTCTGTCAGGACGAGGAACCAAAAATCCAGCCATCTCAGTCACTATCTTGGGTCTGGAAGAGAGCTCCTGAAGTCGGAGTTGCCTACATTGAGAGATGCTTTGAGATACGGTGTTTTAATCAGGCAAATCAGTGAAAAGAACCAAAGAACTTACACAAACACAGACATTGCCGGTGATATGACCAAAGCTGTCTTGGCACAGTACACTCTGGCTAATGCTCAGTTCAAGCCTCCAGTCATAACAAGTCAGAAGAAGATTAGTGAGAGACTGCTAGCCAGTTGGGAAAAGGCAAGAGATATCTCTCTTGGGAGAGGAAAACTTGCAGTTAAGGACAGCTTTGCCAAGCAACTGGACCAGTTATTTGACATAATTACTTGCAAGTGCCCAATTGTTCTCTGTCCTGAGTTTGGATGCGATCGTGACTGTAAATCTGAGGCCCACATCTCCTGTATTTGCAAGCGTGAACTGGATTCCTGTGATCGAACTGGCATTTGTCAAAGCACAGAGAGAGAAGACTGGCAGTATAGGGGCTCTCTGATTTCTAGCCAAGATATTCCGGAGTCCAAGAGACAGGAGGCTGCCACAGAGAGACAGAAGAGGAGAAGAGTTGCCGAGGAAAAGAGACTTGAGAAGGCCCAGGGTGAGGTAAAAAAGGCCGATGATTGGAGTCAAGCTGATTCAGAGTTTAATGACTTCCCCATGGCTGATCCGAGTGCTGACCAGGAGAATGGTGACTTTGTCCCTAACCCAGAAAATAATGATCCCAAACCTTCCAGGCATAAGATTCGAAATAGGAAAGATATCCTGAGCATAGCTCTGGCCAGCATGCGACACCACACTGGTCTCAGAGAAACTGCAGAGATAGCAACAGCTGCCTGGATTGACGGTGGTTTGATAACACCTGATGATGTTCACCTGGTGTTAGATCATAACAAAGTAAGGAGAGCTCAGGAGAAACTTGTCAGTAACCTAGAAGAGGAGTTTGATAAGGGATAAGAGAAAATGGAATCAATTGTTTGTTCTTTGATGGGAGAAGGGATGACACTAAAGTGTTCATGAAAGTTGGAGATTCTGACAAGTTGTTCCCTGCCATGGTGAAGGAGGAACACTACTCCTGCTGCAGTGAACCAGGAGGGAAGTATTTGTGGCATTTCACTCCAGAGAAAGATAACATCAGGAAACCAGCTGAGATAGTGGCAGGTAACATTGTGAACTGGCTCAGAGAGAGGAACGTAGACCAGACCCTGCAGGCCATTGGAGGGGACAGCACCAACACGAACACAGGGTGGCAAGGGGGGGTCATACAGTGGATAGAGCGGAAGATTGGGAGGAAGCTGGTCTGGATTGTTTGTGACCTCCACACCAACGAGTTGCCACTCAGACATCTGATCCAGGAGCTGGATGGCAAGACTCTTTCAAACAACAGATGGTCTGGTCCTCTTGGCAAGATGCTGGACTCTGCCACTGAGTTAGAAATAAATCCGAGCTTTGAAAAAAATCACAGTTGGCCCTCCACTCGTTGAGCTTGCACATACTGTCATTGACGACCTGAGTACTGACCAGTACTATGGTTACATGATTTGCAGTGCCATCAAAACTGGGGTCATGCCTGATAGACTTGTTTACCTGCAGATAGGTCCAGTCTCACATTCTAGGTGGCTCACAACGGCTCTCAGGTTCTGCAGAATTTGGGTCGCTCATCATAAACTGAAAGGGAACCAGCTTCACAACCTGAGACTTATTGTCCAATTCATCGTGAGTGTCTACTTGCCAAATTGGTTCAACATCAAGGTCAAGTCATCATTCTCCGAAGGTCCGAGGCATGTTCTCTTCCAGCTTGAGCTCCTGAGGAGTCAGCCAAGGAAGGTTGTTCAGATTGTGGAGCAGACTGTGAGGAGATCTTCCTGGTATGCTCATCCCGAGGCAGTTCTGCAGACAATGCTCTACAGTAAGGATGAGGAGGAGAGAAGAGTGGCAGTCAAAAAGAACTTGGATATGAGACTTATGAGAGGATCTGGGCATGACGAATCAGTTGGTGACGATTCCTTCACGGTCAGGAAGACTCCTGAAGTCAATCTAGGTGCCAAGACCCTCACTGATCTCATAGATCTGGATAACATCCATACTGGCAGTGAGCCCACTCTTACCTGCAACCTCACCAATGTTCAAGTCAGAGTTTTCCTGGACAACCCCATGCATGTCCCTGCCTGGCCCTCGCATACCCAGAGTATAGAGGATTGTGTACAACAAGTGAGTGAGGCCAGCAGTCACGTGTACAGCCAGGAGAGGAGGGAAGGCTACATCCGAGCTCAGGTGGTCAGCAGGGAGGTGATGAGTAGAAACAGAAGCAAGAAAGACATGTTCTCTATGGTGTGCAGCAACACCGGGTCGTAGTAGTAAAACCGGTTTTTGTATTTGATGATTTTGTTTTCTAAAGGAATATTAAATTTAATAACTGTGTCAAGATCATTCGTTTCACTATTCTGGATCATTTTCATCCTAATAAATTAACCTGATACATTTACTTTACTTTAAATAAGCTATTTAGTGGTGTTGGTAAAAGGGTGGGAATACTGAATTTTCATAAGATTTCAAGTTAAAATTTACCTAGCAAAAAATGAAAACTTTTCAAATCTGAAGATATCACATGATTCTGCACATAAAACTACATCATTAATACCATGGGCCGATTTTTCAAACTCAAAAAAAAAAATTCGCCTCCGTATGACACACCCTACTGCGCCAACCCCATCCTGTGAAGCATCGGTCCGGAGGATGAAAGGCTCTTCCTTCCTCACCAGTTGAAGGATGGGTTGCTTGCATAGCAGCTTCTTGAGGGCACTGAAAGAATCCTCTTGTTCAGGTCCCCATTGCACCTTGTTAGATGCATGTTTCTCGAGCAGGTCGGATAAAGGGAGAGCCACCACGGCAAAGTTTGGGATGAAGTTCCGGTAGTACCCTACGAGGCCCAGAAATGACCTCACTTGTTTTTTTGTAGTGGGCCGTGGTAGGACTGTATGGCCCCTGATCTTAAGTCCGTGGAGCAGGAGGTCTTCTCTAACCCAAGGTCTAAAGGCCACTGGCTAAATTGTTTTTTTTTTGAGGCGTGAAGTGATGAACAGTACACCACTGTCTCACTGGCCTGCCCCCCCTTATATGTCCCAGTCATGGCTGGCCGGTTACCTTATCTCTACCGTAAACAAACATTTGGGATGGGTTGTGCGGGAGGCCCAACGCAACCCATGACAGAGGAATTTTCAACATCCTCGTGGCCTCCTTCATTTTTCCCAACCCCCCACAAATAATGTTAAAAAATAAAATGCAGATGAAGAGAATAACCTTATTTTATTTCAAGGTTGACAATCATCATTATCTTATATTTTGATAGACTTACATGATTTACATAACTGACGTCACTAGACTAGAGTGACTACTAGACAAGCCTCACACCAAACTTGAATTTGGTTGGGAAAAGTACATATGACCTCTGCATATTTTGTCACAGCTCAATGGGAAGGCTGACATTGTTTCCTTTCAGTCAGGTGACTGATCCGATGTTGTGTCACTGACAATGCACATCTCATGTCCGGGTCCACATTCAGTCGGTTCCGGCTTTTACTCTTTATATGTAGAAGGGTGGAGAAACCAGATTCGCATAAATAGGTAGTTGAAAAAGGCAAGAGGACTCGAAGTGCAATCTCGCTAACTTTTGGATATGACTGATACATTGAGCACCAGAATACAGTCAGAGATCTTTCTTCATAGAGATCTTTGGCAGCAGAATCATTCTTGAGATCAAGAAATTCGTCCTGAACATCATTGGGAATGGTAGCAATATCAAGAGTGCCAGAGAAAGGATTCCTCACCAATTTCCCATCTTCCTCCTCGAATTCTGGGAAATACTTTTTGAGCTCACTTTCCAAGGATTTCAGGTGCTGAGTGATTTCAGTTTTGAGTGATGGGTCAAGCAGATGATCTTCATTCTCATCAAGAACAGTTGAAAGATTCTCAAACATGGCAACATTTCCTGCATTGACTTTCCTTTGCCAATTCTGGAGCTTGGCAAGAAATACACGAAGACAATCCATGAGGTGAAACACATTTCTATCATTGCCCTGCAGCTTGAGATTCAGCCTGTTTAGCTGCTCAAACATATCTGCTAAATATGCAGGACGTGGCTCCCACAACACCTCATTGAAGTGACTTAATTGATCATCTTTCCCTTGCACTTCCAGGAACAACTTAAGCTCTCCCCGAAGTTCAAACACTCGATTCACAACATTGCCCTTGGAAAGCAAGCGCACTTTGGTGTAAAAGAGGAGGGCTTTATGCTCTGAATCCATGTCTCTACAAAGGTTCTGGAAAAAGCGAGAGTTCAGATCTCCAGCTTTCACAAAGTTGACACATTTGACCACTGCCTCCACGATCTTGCAAAGTTCATCAGGGAGGGTTTTCGACGCCAGTGTAAAACGATGGATCATACAATGGATCCCCTTGGCATTCGGAGATACTTCCTTGACACGCTGCTGGAACCCCGATATTGTTCCCAGCATCGCCGGATCCCCATCCGTACAGACTCCACAACAATTTTCCCAGCTGATCCTATTAGGTGTGAAGAAAGAAGACAGCTTTTCCATCACATCTACAGCTGTTGTGGTGGTCTCCAGCTGTGTAAAGAACAGTTATTCCTCCTTGATGTCACACAAGAATACATACCTAACAAACACGAGTAGCTGTGCACAAGAACTCACGCCCGTTGACTCATCCAGCTGTATTGCAAACATACCAGTTGGAGATAATTTGATCTGTATAACTTTTTCCTTTATGCCATCTGACATTTCATTAATTCTCCGTTTCACTGTATCGTTTGACAAGGAAATTTGTTGAATTTTACGTTCACTTGCCTCTCCAAGAACCCGTTTGACCATTTTTAAAGCACATGGCTTAATTAAAGTTTCACCAATTGTATGGGGCTTCTTTTGCTTTGCTATTTCGAGGGACACCTCGTATGATGCCTCAACTACACTTACGGTCTGTTGTTGGAAAGCACCACTCTCGTCCAGTTTCTGTTTTCCCAAACTCCGTTCATGGCGCCTGAAGAAACAGGTGTCTCTCTCCGCATACTGTGGATGGATCGTCATCAGATGATGCTTCAGCTTACTAGGCCTCATAGAATCCTTCCCCAGCACTTTGAAGCACAGCACACACTGAGGTTTCTCAATGCCATCAGCGAGGATTGATGTAAAACCGTAGTTAATGTATCCATCGATGTACTTCCGCTTCTTAGCAACACTAGTAGCCATCCCAAATATAGAGAAAATAAAGAAGACAGAATGTCAGAACAGACAAACAGACAAGTGATAAAGACTAAAGAATGATAAAGAAGGACAGATAAATAGGACAAGAGTTAGAATGGCAAACACACACACACATTCACATACATAACACGACCATGCACTCACACATAAAGCACACATACAGTCATACACAAACATGCACACAGGTAAACATTCACACTCAAGCTAGCAAGCTGAAGTGTACTTCCTGTAAGCAAGAACACGCCTCCTTTGACAAGCACTGCCCAACTTGGAAGAATGAGAAGAATAGTGAGTCATACCAATTTAGCACAAAAATGGTAGGATTATATAAGTAAAGAATGAGTATGAACAACAATGGCACCAATAAATAAGGAAATAATTAATAAAGGAAGTGTACAAATATTTCACCCACGTAAAGCAGCGACCACATGAATTATGAAACAAAATAAGAAACACCAATTATGGAGTATATTATGCTTGAGTCAAACTCAAACACTATATATGGTTCAGAGACAATACACTCCACTGTTTTCGTGATGGTATCCCAGGCCAGACTGAGATCATTTGGTCCTATCACCACTTGCAAAGGGATGACGCATGGACACGTACTGAACAAGTCAGTTCAGCAGCTCGGTCCAGTCCCTGTCACACAGACAAGGACTGGATCTGTGAAATCTTAAATAATCCGTAAAAAATAAAAATAAATTAACACCAGAGTATGTAAATACTAAAATTGTATTGTCGTTATGATTAAACAAAATGACAAAAAAAGTATGAAAATTCTCTTCTGCCAAGTCAAAATAAGTAATACAAGTTTTGTTTAATTCAGATTCCCAACATTATTTGGAAACGTACAATTTATAAAAACTCGCCGTGGCTCCCCCAAATTCTGGCCCCCAGGTTGAGAACCACTGACCTAGGGTGATACTCTCGGATAACAGGACAGAATTTAAGAATCAACTTTTAGTCGCTATATGTCAACAATATGACATTACACAAGCTTTCACAACCGCCTACCATCCATCTTCAAATGGGTTGGTCGAGCGTGCGAATAAAAAAAATTCTTGAGATTCTTCGACATGTGGTGAATCCAATGCATAGCTCGTGGGAGGAATGGCTTCCACAGGTTGCAGCATCCACCAATGGATCTATAAATAGCTTTACAGGCAAATCGCCATACTACATAATTTACGGTAAAGATAAATGCTTTCCATATGATTTACTAACAGGAATTCCAAAACCTGTGTACAACATGGATGACTATGCCAAGAAACAAATCAATGTTTTCACGAGCATCCAAGGAAAAGTACGAAAACACTTAGCAGCCTCACGTGCTAAAATGATCTACAAGCAACACAAAAAAGCTCAGCCTATAAAATTAGAGATAGGCGACAAAGTAATGATAAAAGCGCCGGAACGCATATCAAAACTCTCGCCTAAATTCACAGGTCCGTACGTGATTAGAGCGAAAGAACATGGAAACAAACTCCAAGTTGTTGAGCCAACGTCAAATGTTTCAGATATAGTACATGTTGATAGAATTAAAAAAGTCAGCAGAGACTTAGTAGGGATTCCTAATGTCAGTCAAGTACATCCTACGTCAACTACAACAGTTGCTCAAAAAATTATAATGATAGGCAATACATATCGTCAAAAACTACGATCAGCAACCACTAATAATTGATTATCCTCGCCTATTTCAGACATGGCTTGGATATCACTACTACTGCTGGTCTGGAGTGTGGTGTCAGTAGCCGCCTCCCCAGCAGACGTCGTCAAACCCGGAGCCTTAGTTGCCCCACTAGGCAAAGTATTAGTAGTACAAGACGTTGTCACTATCAAATACGAGCTCCATGACTTAAAGCGCTGTCCACATTGAAACAGCTATGCAAACTTTGCAAGATCTCGATCAACAATCTAAATACTCTACAACAATCCGTCAGGCCATCTCTCTTCAACACGACCGTATGAACAGTTTATTCAAACGAGTAAGGCATTTCGAGGGAAAGCTCCCTGTATCTCCTGAAGACATCGGGAAAAATGTACATTCTCAGCCGCGTCAAAAACGTGGTCTGTTTAATTTTGTAAGTTTAATAAGTAACACTTTGTTGGTACGGCAACAGCCGAAGATGTTGCCAGAGCCAGACTAGGAAATAAAATGAGTGCAATTTCAGACGCGGTTAGGAAACAAAATAGGGTCATTGCACAGTCATACAAGGCAATAAAAACTCTGACCTCTCATATAAATGATATTGTTGAACGAACTAATAAACTAACACAAATAGTTGAGGGGTTCATTCGATCAGAATCTACACTGGAATGGCAACTGTGCTTATCTGAATACATGCATGCTGCTGAGGCCTCTGTACAATCTTTCATAGAAACCAGTAATAGGGTCATTGCTGATCTTGTAAATGCAAGGTTAGGACGTGTTGACGCACAGTTGTTGCCGGATCAACTAATTGCCCCGTTACATATATCTGAAACGAATTATCATCTAACTCCTATCTTTCAGGAGCATGAAGTTATTATTATCCCATATTAGAAGCAACATAACACACAGGGAAATACTTAATCACAATCCACTAAAATCACAAAAAAAAAATAATGCATGGCATTTGGAACCATTTCCACTAAAGCGAATGAGGGACTATTAATTCTGAACAAACAAACTGAACTAATAGTAGTATCAGAGGAATTTTCATTAGTTGCTGTGGCTAAGCATGAAGTACTAAATCATTGTAAATCAACATATTTTCATCTGCATGTTTGTCCGGCGTATGCTTTCGCATTCACTCGTGCCGCGGAGCCTTCATGTGAATTAGCTCTGTTACAAACTAATGCCTCTACAGCTCTACAACAATGTGTATATACTCCAATACCACATAGGTTAGTGTTTCACACACATGTTAATAATGTGCAATATTTCTTTTTCCCGAATCAAACCAGTGTGATACTTATATGTCAGGATGTAGGCAAACATTTAATGGTAGAAGAGTATCAAATTGCACCAGACTATTGTGAAATTAGCAGTAATGCGATCACAACCTTGCCTACTCGTCATCATCTTACATTTGTCACAAATATTACTTCTGAGCTGATTCCCATACCATTTCCCTTATATATAAGTTTCAGAAATCTCCACATTGTTTCTGATAAGCTTAACCTCCTGTCTTATATTAATGAGACTCAGTTTCCTGACTTACAGGATTCTCTTCCTTTATACTTATCTTCTAGTATAATCCTACCTGGTTTTATTATACCTACCATCATATTTATCAGTTCCTTGATTGTTATGATAATTTGTTATAGAAAGGTTTCTTCTAGGTACACAATAGTTTCTAAGAAAACTTTTCGGAAGGAATTGCAAAAGCATATAAACGACGAAAAAGTTTAGCTAAGCACACTTTTTGTAACAAGGTTAGGTACACCAAGGTATTAATCCGTGAGGTCATCTGTTGGAGGTGACTGAGCGGTGTAACAGCAATTCTTATTATACAGATATATACCCAATGTATGTTACCTATGTATTCACCAATTCATTCATCCATGATTATGAATCAATTGGTGAGTTGACATTTCCTCCATGGAGCTAGCGAGGTCAAGCTGGGTCAACACTTTTCAACAACAACATCCTGTGAGGAGCACTGACAACAACCTGATGCGTATCCTGTATGGCACCTTGCCTCACAGGATGCGCGTGAGAGAGAGAGAGTTTTCATATCACTTGTTACCCAGTGAACAACTCACTTAAGTGTTCTCCCACATAAGTGCACTAAGACACTTCCCTTAGTGTAGAAGAGAAAGTACAATATACTCTCAACTGAACTCAGTACCTGTGAAACTATATTTTTCTACAATAAAATAAAACCAATAAAGTGTTTACTTCAGCCCTGCCACTTATCAAATCAAGAACTAATATATATACAAATATATATATTGTGTGACCAACACATGTAATTGGTCGGAATATTCTCACTATTAATTATTGCTTTTTTTATTTAAGGTGCATTGTGATGCAGTGGAAGCACCCCTCAGAGAAAATCCCGAACCACCACAAACACAATTAACAAAAGTATTCTCGGGTTACCGTGGAAAGCTAGTACCTATGATTGGGGCTCATGAAATGCACTGGTAAAAGATGACACTTCTATTCCTACCAACTTCTACAGACGGAATCAATAATTGTACAAAACACTAGAGTACCTCTGAGCGTGGCTTAAAACAATACAATGGGAAACAAAAGTTATACATGGTATCAAAAAATTATTAAAATATATTAATTGCATCTGGAGAGGACTACTAATGCAGCAGTACTACATACACCAGAGCAGGCACCAGAATGGGGAACTCATCTGAAACAATTCCTCCGTACAGCCTACATCACTAATGGCACATAAAACATTAAAAAAAATTACTTGCACCGATGAATATGCCTTAAGGGCATCCGACAAAATTGTAGCAATCACTGAGGAATAGAAATCCCGATTTTAGTCATACTACACAAGAACTTGGATCACCCATAGCCTGTCTGGGATGCCCACAAATACTGCAATCCTAACTGTCCTAACTACCAAGAACCCAAAGATTGTAACTACTAACCTGCCAAATGGCTGGCATTTACAAGAAACCGAGAAAATCACCTATGACCCGTCAGGCAGGCAGGTGCTCCGCTGTTTATTCATTACTCTCTCTAGGTTTCAGGAGTCATGAGTGTATTTCTCCCCCAACACCCGTAACATGCTTCACACATAATTTCAGAATGCAAACGTACTTTTAAGGTATTAACAGCCTTTCACAAACTTTTGGAGAGGAACTCTTACGTCCCACGTGTGCAATCAACCATGAGGAGCATTGATTTTACACCTGGACTTGGTTATTTTAATCACATACACCCAATACTGGGGAGATGGATGTCTCTATGTTACCACTAGACTATCCGTTTCAGCGTGCGACCTTCCATTCACTCATTCTACACTTAGTTT